TCTGAGAGTAACTGAGAGTATCTGAGAGTGTCTGAGAGTAACTGAGAGTGTCTGAGAGTATCTGAGAGTGTCTGAGAGTGTCTGAGAGTATCTGAGAGTGTCTGAGAGTATCTGAGAGTAACTGAGAGTATCTGAGAGTAACTGAGAGAAACTGAGAGTGTCTGAGAGTAACTGAGAGTATCAGTATCGGGGGGTCATGTTTCACACACTAATCAGAGTCTTGTGGGTCACTGTGTGATTGGTTCAGATCTGCAGCTCCAGTTCAGATTGCTGACTTTACCTCCGAGTCATCTGAGGATACACAGTGTGTGTGTGTGTGTGTGTGTGTGTGTATGTGTGTGGGTGGATGTAATAAAAGAACTGGAAGGAAAGGTCACTAACACACACTCCCATGCACTCTCTCTGGAACAGTGTGTATGTGTGTGTGTCTGTGTGCCCCTCATTTTAGTTTTTATTTGATAATGAGTTTTTATCAGTGGGTCAAAGTGCAGTTCGCAGTTTACTGCTCGCAGGGAGACTCTGTCAGCTCCAACTGTGGGCACAGGTGACTTCCTACCTGGGTGGGTCTGCAGGTGTTCAGTGTTTTTTTCCCCGTTATCCAGAAAGCGTGGGATTCTGGGTCAGCCACTTCAGATAAGGGCGAGTGAGGCTTGTTTACACTCGCAGAACAAGAGAGCAAGAGGTTGACCTCATGGTGTACTGGGCCGTGATTACAGTCTTATCTACACACAGAGGGAACTGTAGGTCACTGATGGAGGACAAAACACATCAGTTCTCACTTTACATTTAAGACTCACACACAAATGTTAGCAAATGTTAGCTGACATTATTTTGCTGTTAGCCATCAGTCCAGACTGTCACAATGTCCATTATTGGGCACATTTTCAGACTCTGTTTTTTTGCTAATTATAGACACACTTCTACGGTTGTGTTTGTGGGTGTCCGGCAGGTCTGTGGGGTTTGGTGAACAACGCTGGAGTATGTGTGAACTTCGGAGACGCTGAGCTGTCGCTGATGTCGAACTTCCGTGGGTGCATGGAGGTCAACTTCTTCGGCACGCTGAGCATCACTAAGAGCTTCCTGCCGCTGCTGCGACAAGCCAAAGGACGCATCGTCACCATCTCCAGTCCCGCCGGTGAGTGTCCAACCCACACACACACACACACACACACACACACACAGATGCTATAATAAATCTTAATTGAATGTTCCAGAACAACTGAACCACAAATGAACCGACTGCTGCCTTCAAACTGCCAAATGAAACAAACAGTGCTGCTGCACGTCTCCCTGCCGTCTGTTTGTCCAACTTAACTCTGTCGTCTTGCCAGAACATCAGTGCAACCAAATCGATCACAAATGTTGGTTTCCCTTGACAGAATTAATGCGCTCAGCAGATTTCACGGTCAGATGCCTGTTAAACATGTGCAGAGCTTGAATTCTGGGCTGCGTGTGGTCGAGAGGAAGGTTCATCCTCCGGAGTATGGAACTAAGACATGACCAATTAATAAATTAAACATTATGAAATAAATGTCTATAATAGAATATATTTGAATAAACCAGTAAACTCTGAGATCATTTTAAGAATGACATGGCCATGACATGGATAACATGGCAAGTCAGCTGGCCATGTTATCATTATCTGTTATCTGAGTGGATATGTTAGTTATATGTTAGTGGATACCGTTTGTCAGAATACATAAGTTAGGATGATGCTAACTTATGTATTCTGACAAACGGTGTAGATTTTAGCCAACAATAAATTATGCTAACAGTACAAGGCTACTGATAGCTTTCTACTAGCCAAGATTGATGCGAGGTAGAGGCATCCAACTAGCTAACTGTAGCTAAGCTAAGTTGGGGTTGTCTTGGCTGCGAAGTATGGGTGTTTATTTCCCTGTCAGATGTCTGATATGTAAAGCTCATAATGTGACAGTACAGGTGAGGCTGTTCCTGTATCGTGTTCTACTCACAAAGACTCCTTTATCGCACTGCCGGGGGGGAAACCACAGATTTATACAGTCAGCCCCCGCCCTGTCATCAGAGGCATGTGTCTGCTCCTCCTTCTTCTGTGGGTTTATACTCTTGCTGGTTGCCCACATTGAGCCTCCAGCTGATCCGGACTGTTTCCTGGATGCACGAGGCTCAAACCCCTTCAGCCCGCTGCTGTAAACAGATGATGTGATATAACTTCTGTGAACAGCCTGATTATTCTGCTGCTATCTTCACTGATATCTGCTGATTTGAATATGACAGCGCCTGAAGGCAGCAGTCATCAGAGAAACCACAGAATGTAATATTTGACTGTCAAACTGAGCTTGGACGCACATTTACTGATTCCAAATTGACCTTTTTTTTAAAAAAAGATTATAGATAAAACACAACATAGATACGCAAGACTAGAATTACAGCTGCAAGGGCACTAAATTCAAAATGGACGACTTCCTGTTGGGTTTGGGGTATGAGTCTGTCTGGTCATGATACATGTGCGTACCAATTTTCATACATATCAGTGAAATGTGCCTCAGGGGTTGCTCTTTAGAATACATACATTTTCACCAAAGCCAAATTTTGTGCCACGTTTCATGACTTTTTGAGCAAGTTGCGGCTTCTCTAGTAACACAAAGACGATGTCGTACCTGTGTTTCAGGTGACCAGCCATTTCCCTGTCTGGCAGCCTATGGGGCGTCTAAAGCAGCTCTCAATCTCTTCATCAACACCCTGCGACATGAGCTGGAGCCCTGGGGGGTCCGGGTCTCCACCATCCTACCCTCCTCATACAAGACAGGTAAAACCACACACCTGGCACACCTGTCATAACGCAGGAAAACAATGGTTGTGTTGGTGGTGAGTTTGTAGTGACGCATCCCACTTATAGGCTACTTTAAGCTGTTTACAAGGTTCATTATTAGAAGGTAGGTGAGCTCAGTTCATGTGAATTATTAAAATACCTTCTGCTCCACAAAAAAAAACGTTTGTTTGACATGCAAAATGCGACGCAGCAGCTTTTAGGCACCAGTTTTTTCAGGTTGGCGTTCACCCAGAGGGGGCGTGGTCGCTCTGAAGACAGGAACCTGACATATGGCTGCTCTCATTATGTCAGTATGTAGATGTGTCTTGACCTGTAAATCCATGTTTAACCCTTTATAGGGCACCAAAATTTGCCATAGAAGTGTAATTAAAACCGTCATAAGGAAGTGACCATATATGGTCCGTCACGCCGTAAAATGGTTAATGTGCTCAAAGGCACAGCACACATCCCAGGTTAACAGAGGGCAGTGAACTAAGAATGCAAATAAAAACAATATACAATTTGAAACTTTATTATTACACAGCCCCTGGAAAACCTGGAATCATGTAAACGCCTGGAAATTAATAATAATAATAATACATTTTATTTAAAGGCGCCTCTCTGGGCACTCGAGGACACCGT